ATAGTTTCAGAATTTCTGTTATTACTGCGGCCAACCTACAAGTTCCTTTGGAGCACACTAGGTGGCCCCAGCCCACACTTTGGAAATCACTGCCCTACACAATTTCACCACCAGCACCAACCTAAACTGTCGATACAAGTAGGTTGGATCCATGCTCTCATGGTTATTTTGATGGTGTCTGTGCAAAACTCATTACCATTTGAATGTTGCAACAGAATTGAGACTCATCAGACCAAGCAAAGTTTTCACAGCTTTCTATTGTCCACTTTTGGTGAACCCATGTGAATTATAGTCTCAGTTTCCTATTTCTAGCTGACAGGAGAGGCACCCGGTGTGGTCTTCTCCTGAGCCCATTTGCTTCAAGGTTTGATGCATTCAGAGATGCTCTTCTGCAGACTTTGGTTGTAACAAGCGATTATTTCAGATAGTGATGCCTCCCTATCAGCTTGAAGCAGTCTGGCCATTCTCCTCTGACCTCTGGCATCAACAAGGTATTTTCAACCAGAAAACTTGTGCTCAATAGATATTTTCTCTTTTTCTTACCATCCTTTATAAAACATAGAAATGGTCATGCGCGAAAATCCTAGCAGATCAGCAGTTCCTCAACAACCATGCTACGCGTGTAGTCACTTCGATCACTTTTCTTCCTAATTCTGATGTTTCAGCAGGTTGTCTTGACCATGTCTACATGGACTGAGATGCTGCCATGTGATTGGCTGATTAAATATTTGTGCTATTATTTGTGTAAGAGTTATTGAAAACGCCTACCTACAAAAAGTGTAAAGTATAAAGTAACTGTAAAGTATAAAAGAGCTCATTGGTAAAGAGTACAGATGAATACTTACTTGCTATATTTTCACTGGGATTTTCTGTACCATAACGGAATTTGTTCTCTGATTTCTTAAAGTTTTCCAGCTATAAAAAAACAAAACGTAAACAAACCCTCAAACACTTTAATGTGTCACAAATTAGATCCATCATAAATCAATCAAAGAAGATATAAGCAGACATGCTTACCTCTGTGCATATGGACTCCGAAAGCCGGCTGGTGAACGGATTTTTATCATGAAATTTGCAAGAACTTCAAGAAAGCCAGAGAGGTATTACTATTTTTTTTAAAACAAACAGCTTTAAAAGAAGCGTTACAAAACAGAAAGGAAATATTTTACCTTGAACGTTGTGACAATGATGGCTCACAGTCAACTGAGGCCTCTTGGTTCTATTAAAAGAAAAAAAAAAAACAAAGCTACTGAATACAATAGACTAAACAGGTGAATAACAGTTAGAGGCAGAAAAGAAGCCTGACCTGTGGAGCCTTATGAGTTTTTGCATTACGAGTACCATTTCCTGCTTCAACGTCTCGTTTCTTTGCTTCTTTTTGCCGCTGCAGCTTAACATAATCATACGTGCTTATGCCTTTATGATCTATAAACCAGAGTGAGGAGCAAACACCACAGGATATAGTGAGGCTTAATCACTGGAAGAGGGGAAAATAACCTTATGACATGTATGTCTCCAAAATTCACTTACAGAGGTAAAGGTGAAAGCCCAGCAGATGGCTTAGCAGCAGTAGGCAGGTGGTGCTCAGCATGACTGTTACGAAGGATAGTATTAGGAGACCAGCTGAACTCGTCTTTATGGGAGCTAACGGCAAAAACATCAGCCAGGTACTATTCCCCGACACATCTTTGAAAAGAAGGAACAAAGGACAGCTTTCAGTGCTGCAATTTCCACCGACTCGGTAAGATTATACTGCAGGTCACTCACCGGCAAACTGCGGTGCAGTCCGTAAGCTGTACGGATTGAGGTAATGCTGAATAAATACGAACAACACAACCACAATAAGCAGAAAGACGCCAATTGTAGCTGAGCACAGTGCCAAGAAGAAGTACCTGAAAGTAATGCATGAAAACCGATGAATTTATAGAGCAAGTCTTACTTCATGTGGACAGCAACGATAAGGCTCATAAATCCAAAAACTTCAACTTACCGGTAGTTCCTTCCACCCACACAGGTGTTCAGCCATTTGCAATGGTGATCAAAGTCTTCCACACACTTGTTGCAAACACCACAGTGTTTTACTTTGGGGCCACTGCAAGAAGATTTAATGTTTTACATCATTACACTTTATTAAAAAAAACGTTTTTCCTCATTTGTGATAGGGTACCTGCCAATTTGAAAATGCAAATGAACATTAGAGACTGCTGCTCAGGATACATACACATTCACATCACAAAGATAACAGTGCAGGTCGTGGATAACATGCGGTTGCTTTGTTCGGTCAAAGAGAGGCATCGGCGTGGAATAGCTCTGCTTGGCTCTCACGCTGTCATCTGCTGGATCTACAGTGAGAACTGCGATGTGTGCGAATAAGTGCACAATAAACGCTACGCCCATCAGCTGCACAAAACAACAGTCAAGGAAGTTTTTTTTTTTTTTTTTTTTTAAACGTCCTTAAAGAATATTGCAGCGTGTGATAAATGTGCAGTAATGTGAAAAAATATTAAGTGGGACTAGTATGAGAGAACAACTGCTGTACAAGTCTTGTGCATGAGAAATAAAGACTGAAGACATTGACTGTTCTTGTGGTTGACATCATGCGGCATTCAACAGCTTACAAAAAGGCCACTGATTATGTCTTTTGGGCCAGAAAAAGAAAGTCTGTCACACTGGGTGTGACTGAAGCCCATACAGACATGCCACACAACAAAATCCTTGTCCTGTTCAGCAGCACAGACAAAAAAAAGACAAAAAAACCCCAGCAGAGGCTAATGTTTGCTCCATATTCAAATAAGAAAGACCCGCTGTGTGTTAAGGATACAGTATAGGCCACATGTTTCCACGGCAGAGGCAGAAGCGGGATATAGATACCAAAGCTGACTATGGTGAGATAGCTGTACACCAACCACCCAACCACCTGGAAGGCTTGAGGGGGCCACGACCATCCGTTCCTTCTGGGAGGCTTGGAGGGGACAAGCTCATTTTTGCTGCTGCCAAGCATGGGAGCTGTCTGTCTGAACCTCTGACTGAAGCAGTTCATCTATGGTGCGAGAGAAGAATAAGGACAGGTTGGAGTACACATAAAAGTAGAGTACCGGCAGAGTGTGGCTACATTTGCTGGGGAAATGAGCTAGGAAAATGAGTTGAGCATAATGGCAGTGACTGTTCATCCACAGATGGTGCTATACCGAGACTGTATTAGGTGCAGCTAGATGTTCTACAGTGATCCGGCCACTCTGGTTTACTTTCACGGGTGTATATTTATTGAAAAAGAAATATATAAGCACTGCAGTGTGATAGTAAAGTGAAGTGTAACTGAGGAGCAGTGCGAACTACATTTCTTACATTTTAAACTTCATAAAAGCAGCATTAATTTCTCAGCCACTAAATTCAAAAGGCAAATAAACAAGAACGGAGACTCAGTCGCAAAGCCTGCAGGAAACAGCTGATTAAAGTGACTTCCACAAACTTTTACATCCCCTTCTTTTTCACAGGCCTTGCAATCACATGTTTTTCTTTTAGCCTTACCCTTAGCACAGCATATGAATTGTGCAATCCGTTTAACTTAAAAAGCATAAAAGGTCAATTGTTTCTGGACTTTCTGCAAAAAGGCAGTTAATTGTGTTCTTGTTCATCTATGCATTAGAAATCTGAAAAAGAAGCAACAGAGCCATCCAGCTGTTTTTTTTGCCTCTGCTATGCTTAACTAAAGCGAGTAGCTGGCAATCAGTTTATGGTTGCTTTAGTGGATCAACCCGGCTGTTTAATTTGCAATCAATCTAGCTGACTCCATTTGTACCCGTTAAAATAACAATACTACTACTACTACTACTAATAATAATAATAATAATAATAATAACGACGACGACACTAGTCTTAACCCATAATTACTTACCTTTCTACTTGCGACAGCGACCATAACATTAAATTTTCTTCAGTTCATTCGATTTTCACCGCCTAATGTCCCATCATAACTTTGTCAGCCAAGCAGGTGTTTCTTATGAGTAAAAGTCACATGAAAATAAAAACACGACAACATCGACAAATAACTTTAAAGCTCCCGTATGTTGGGTAAAACGGGCACACCGGTCCTCCCGTGTCCTTGGATTTGTGAAAGCCGAAGGACGTGAAGTAGAAGAATCAACTCACTCAGCAGGACGGTGCAGCGCTATGGAAACTGTGCGACAGCGCATGCGCAATGGCTCTCTTCGCGATACCTGCCCTTTCCCCCTTTTTTGTGTGCATTTTCTTCTTTGTCAACCTTGACTCGCCAGATGATGTGCATGCAACTCGCCTATTAAACGCGCTATTAAATACTTACAGGTGTCAGGGAATTTGAAACCAATGTTCAATGCTTCCACAGAACAAGAAGGAACTGCAGACAGACACATGTGCTCACAGGGTACTTCTGCTTTCAAAAATAAAGCCCGTGCTTTATTTTCAACTCATATTAGACCGTGCTAAATGCATATGTCGCAGCACCCATAGTGCTTCAGTTTCACTTCCCCAACACACCGAGACAAACAGCGTACATTGCTCAGTTAGAACTTACAGGTGGAAGCTTACCCATGCTGAAAACCCGAGGCCTCAGCAGTTCAGTTACTCTGAAACTGCGTTTTCGCTGCAAATGCACGATATTTGGATAACACGGACATTTCCTATTTTTGTGCTCCCATAGTGTATATACAGTGCTGTGAAAAAGTACTTGTACCCTTCCTGTTTTCTTATTTTTTGCAGCGATGTCAGACTTACATGCTACACATCATCAATCAAATTGTAATATTAGACAAAGTTGTATTTATACAATTATTTATTTGTATTTATTCAAGCCTTCCTGGTCCTGTGTGAAAAAGTTAGCAACCCCCCCCCCAAAGACACACGCACGCACGCACACACACGCACACACACGCACACACTCCTTTAAAATAATTAATTGTGATTGAATCAATAAATCACTTAAATAGAACCGATCTGACAAGGTAAAGCAAGCTAAACAAGTCCAAAAAGCAACACATACGACATCATACCACTATCTACAGAAACGGAAGAACAGATGAGAAAGTAATTGACATCTATCTCTGAAAAAGACTAAACATTTATAGTCAACCACAATGAGAGCCATTGCACATCAGTGACTCCTCCAGGAGATCACAAAAGAACAGCATCTAAAGAACTGCAGGCCTCACTAGTCTCAGTTAATGATTCAACAATAAGAAAAATACTGAATAAAAATGGCATCGGATGCCATGACAGAACTCTGCCCCTGTCACAGGGCCAGCGGCCTAAGCAGAGAAGCTCAAACCTCCCTCCCCCCAGCCACCTTCCCCAGGCCAGCGAGGAGATATGATTTCACCAGCGTGTCCTGGGTCTGCACCAGGCCTCCTCCTGGTGGAACATGCCCAGGACACCTCACCCAGGAGGCATCCTTGTCAGATGCCTGAACCACCTGTACTGGCTTCTTTCAATGTGCAGGAGTAGAAGCTCTACTCTGACGTCCGGATGGCTGAAATCCTCACCCTATCTCTAAGGGAGAGGCCAGCCACCCTATAGAGAAACTTCATTTCCACCACTTAAAACCCACAGATAAAAGCAGAACTTTATGGAAGGTTTGATTCCTGTTACATCTGCAGTAAAACATCTAATTTCACAAAAATACATCACCAGCAGTCCATAGTGGTGATAGTATTATCGTCTGGGGCTGGACGACTAATTGCTGGAACCATGAATTCTGCTCTTTACCTTAATAAATGAAAACAGCATTTAAAAACGGCATTTTGCATTTACATGCAAAAAAAAGAGGGCAAATGCTTTTTAACAACACTGTATATAATCAGAATAAGTAAAAGATTTGTGTCTAATAACTGAGTGCACACATTCACAAACATTTATTTTTCAAGTGCTGCAACTCATACAAAAACACACAATCACACTAGTCTGTACACTTATGTTCAGTCTTTAACAAAGGTCTGAGGCTCCTGCTTTCTTCACTGCAATTCAACAGTCCATAACAGAGTAGTTAGCAACAGGATAACAGTGCGGCAGTGTGTGGTCAGCCGTTGGCCGTGTTCTCTGGCTCTGGAGACTGCAGGAACTCATAGGGATCATGAACCATTTCAGACTGGTCCCCAACACCCAGATGAGATGGGCTCCCTATGGATGCACGAAAAAATGTTTCTTATGTTGTATTGCTGGCACTAGTAGCTTATTTCATATAATCATTAAAATAAAGGGAAAAGAAGGCATTTGCTGGAGATACCTAAGTGGTGCTGGTCCCTCTCGGAGGCATTAGAGAGTGAGGACAGGTTGGATGAGGGTCTGGAACCAACTCTATCCACCTGTGCTTCTTGGAACTCCTGCAGGAGTTTATCAGCATCATCAAAAGGCTGCTGGCCCTCCTCATTACCTGGCTCTTTTTTCACAGTTTTGCCTGATATAAAAAAAAGAAAATGGCTTCATTATCGGGAATTAAAGGGCACTTCATGCGACCTTAATAAGGGCGCACATCCATAAAAAACTAAACTAAAACTTGCACAATTCAGCTGAATTTTGTTAAGCAGAACATTATACATTTTTCCCACAGAAAGCTCCTCTAAACTTTGAGTACAGATTCAGTGGAAAAGAAAGTGAAACAGCAAATTCAGCATTTCTGTTCTATGCCAATGAAGGAGACGTGGCTGCCGCATGTGCTGAAAAATAGTAAACATGCTTACATGAAAATAATGCCCTTTATTCCAGCAACTCCAAATATTTACCTACCCCTATGGTAACATCACATTTACCTGGCTTCTCTTATCTAAATGTCATTGTATCTGAATTACTGATATAGAAATATGAATGTATATACAGCATGTTGATAGAGAACAATCACCTAATGAGTTAAGTATGGTGATATCCAGAGACATATCTGGATAAGTCTTCATTGACATGAAATCCAGCACCGAACTCCCCTCTCCCAGGCCAGCTCCATCTGCCATCTGAACAGAAAATATCCAGCTTGAATTACTCAATCATTTCAGTTGAAACAAGAAAAACAATAATCAAAACATATTATAGTATCTTCTTTCATGTGCCACAGCGTACCTGCATGTCACAGATGTTCGACTTGGTTTCGTCAGGTTTCAGCATTATATTTCTCTTCTGAAATGTTACAAATAAAGAAGCTTCGTAAACGCAGCAGAGGAACTAAACTTTTCTTTAAGCAAGCAAAAAAAGAAAAAGAAGAAGAAGAAAAAAAAAAGAGACTATACCTGTCGTATCTGATTGACAGATTTTGTGTGATCGCCTGCGGTCATCTTGTCCAGGAGCCCGTCAACCCAATGCTTGGTGACACCGCTGCAGCCCTTGACAAACTCCTGTATACTTAAGTAGTGAAAAAAGGTGATCAAAAATGAAAAATTTACCACAACTGGATAATTTATCAGTGCGATCAAAAAAATGACCGCCTACCTTAAAGCGCACTGAACCCCTGTGTCATCTCCATAGGCTGAATAGAGCATGTCCATCTCATCAGGTAACAAGTCTGCAAAGACAGAGTTCTTCTGGAGGCTCTGGACGTTGTAGGCACTGCTAAGAAAGGTCACTATACAAAGAGAAAGAAACTTGTTAAAAAGCATGAACTATTTAAAATAATTCAGATTAAGTAAATCAACGAAAGTATATATTATCACATACCTTTGTGTCTCCTGTCATCTTTGAAGCCCAGGGTTGTTAACCCAGGCAGAAGCTTATTTGACAGAGAACTTAGATCCACTTTATGGGTCTCTTCCTCTGCAAAACAATAAATCAAACTGGGTTCTTACAGAGATATCACATATTATAATGATATAGCAGAAATAAAAAGGTTTTAGTAGATATATAAAAGGCTGTGTAGTGGTAGCAAACCTTCTGCATCAGGATCGAGTTGATTTACAACAGTATACAAAAGAGAACTGTCAGACTCCTTACGCAAATACCCCATCTGAAAAAGCAAAACACTGGGTAAATTAAACGCTTTAAAAGCTGTCAGCTCTAATAATAAAAAAGAGCTATAACTTGTGTAAACATTGGATACAACTGGATTGTATAAAAAGTGTTCAAAGTGTAAAACCTTGGAGTTTGGCATGTATCTGTTGATGCGGTCGTGAGCTTCATCTGCAGAATGTTCAACCAGCGCCAGAACATGCTCCTCTGCTGTGCTGTCAGTCAAGCTGCATGCGTTTCCCTCTGGTTCATACAGGTAACTGAGACGGCAGAAATGTTACACGGTATCAGTATACAGACGAGGTGTTGTGTGACAAGATTCACAATGCATCCGGTGTCAAGCACTTCCCCACTGTCTTCTCTGAATATGTTAGTCTGAACACGTTCGCAAAAAAAGTAAAGGTGACATGAAATGTAGACACTGTTCAGGGAATACCTGATGACTTCCTTCATGTCCTTGGCTGGCTGCTTCCTGGGCTTCCTTGGAGATTCCATTGGAATGTGGATTGTCTCTGGAGGAGGAATGTCAGCTGTCAGGTCTTCATCCCCCAAAATGGCTGCTTGCTGGGTAAAATCCATGTCCTGCATGAATGACATGCTGCGTTTCAGAGCCAAAAGCCGTTCCTGGACAACGAGTAGAAAGAAAAAAAAAAGACACAATATTTAAATTCCACTTTTATGGAAAAGCAATAATAAACAAAGATATTGGTAGTAAAGCATTTGTACCGATTCCATAAACATGTGACAGTATATTTTAACCAAAGCAAAAACGTATATCCTCAAGTTTTGGGTTTAGAACATCAAGGTTTGCATTACTAGTAGCATTAGTTAACAACATTTGCAGTCGATTGAATATTGTTTAAATTAATGGTACAGTGGGGCAAAAAAGTATTTAGTCAGCCACCGATTGTGCAAGTTCCCCCACTTAAAATGATGACAGAGGTCAGTAATTTGCACCAGAGGTACACTTCAACTGTGAGAGACAGAATGTGAAAAAAAAAATCCATGAATCCACATGGTAGGATTTGTAAAGAATTTATTCGTAAATTAGGGTGGAAAATAAGTATTTGGTCACCTCAAACAAGGAAAATCTCTGGCTCTCACAGACCTGTAACGTCTTCTGTAAGAAGCTTTTCTGTCCCCCACTCGTTACCTGTATGAATGGCACCTGTTTGAACTCATCATCTGTATAAAAGACACCTGTCCACAGCCTCAAACAGTCAGACTCCAAACTCCGCCATGGCCAAGACCAAAGAGCTTTCGAAGGACACCAGGAAAAGTATTGTAGACCTGCACCAGACTGGGAAGAGTGAATCTACAATAGGCAAGCAGCTTGGTGTGAAAAAATCAACTGTGGGAGCAATCATCAGAAAATGGAAGACATACAAGACCACTGATAATCTCCCTCGATCTGGGGCTCCACGCAAGATCTCATCCCGTGGGGTCAAAATGATCATGAGAACGGTGAGCAAAGATCCCAGAACCACACGGGGGGACCTGGTGAATGACCTGCAGAGAGCTGGGACCAAAGTAACAAAGGTCACCATCAGTAACACACTACAACGGCAGGGAATCAAATCCCGCAGTGCCAGACGTGTTCCGCTGCTGAAGCCAGTGCATGTCCAGGCCCTGTCTGAAGTTTGCCAGAGAGCACATGGATGATACAGCAGAGGATTGGGAGAATGTCATGTGGTCAGATGAAACCAAAGTAGAACTTTTTGGTATAAACTCAACTCGTCGTGTTTGGAGGAAGAAGAATACTGAGTTGCATCCCAAGAACACCATACCTACTGTGAAGCATGGGGGTGGAAACATCATGCTATGGGGCTGTTTTTCTGCCAAGGGGACAGGACGACTGATCCGTGTTAAGGACAGAATGAATGGGGCCATGTATCGTGAGATTTTGAGCCAAAACCTCCTTCCATCAGTGAGAACTTTGAAGATGAAACGAGGCTGGGTCTTCCAACATGACAATGATCCAAAACACACCGCCCGGGCAACAAAGGAGTGGCTCCGTAAGAAGCATTTGAAAGTCCTGGAGTGGCCTAGCCAGTCTCCAGACCTCAACCCCATAGAAAATCTGTGGCGGGAGTTGAAAGTCCGTGTTGCTCGTGCGACAGCCCCAAAACATCACTGCTCTCGAGAAGATCTGCATGGAGGAATGGGCCAAAATACCAGCTACTGTGTGTGCAAACCTGGTAAAGACCTATAGTAAACGTTTGACCTCTGTTATTGCCAACAAAGGTTATGTTACAAAGTATTGAGTTGTATTTTTGTTATTGACCAAATACTTATTTTCCACCCTAGATTTACGAATAAATTCTTTACAAATCCTACCATGTGGATTCATGGATTTTTTTTTTCACATTCTGTCTCTCACAGTTGAAGTGTACCTCTGGTGCAAATTACTGACCTCTGTCATCATTTTAAGTGGGGGAACTTGCACAATCGGTGGCTGACTAAATACTTTTTTGCCCCACTGAACAAAAAAACTGATATCTTCGGAGTGATTCGTTGGATTGCAACACCCAAATCAGTTTTATTTGTATGTGAGAGTCGCACAACTCTGCTACTAAAAATATCAGCGCTTTGAATATATTCCATAACTGTGTATGGAACATGATTTGACTGCTAATAACTTCCTTTGTGATCTCTGTTGCTGTGCTGTTTTATCTTTATAAAACAACAATATAATGTACACATCAACAACAATCATACACTGTTGTTATAACAAATGAATAAAGTGTTTTTGCCTTTGGTTTGCTTGACCGTGTTACCTTGCTCATCATCTTGAATCCTGTGTGAAGCAATTTCTTTGCAGCCTTGTAGTAGACAGTCTCTGGTCGGTTGTATACCATGGCATTGTCACACATCAGTTTAAAATCAGCCTGAGGAACAAAAAGTGTTCAGTCAACTATGAAGGCTGCAGGTTTAATGCCCAACATCTTTAAGCTGGGAAGAAAATCTAATTCACAATTAGATGTTAAAGGCACCCTCACCTTAAATTCTGTTACTGTTTTATAGTCATTGTTTCTATTCTTGTCTTTCATTGTGCTGAAGTCCATAGGATGTTTGATGATCATTGAGTAACCAGGAGCGATTGCATCTGTTACTGGAGATGCAAAGAACCCATGGGGATCTTTCCTGGAAAGATGAGACACACCATCAATGTTATTGAAAGCACCAGCTTTTAGACTTGTTTAGACGTGCCCAGTGTTCTGATCTGATCAAGAATGTTATCTTTCAGGTCAAAATGGTCATTATTAATGGATCTTGCTGTGCTTTTATCAAACAAAGAATTTCATAATGTAGCCTTATTCACATGCCACATTTTGTAATCTGTGATAAACAAACAGGGCTTCCCCTCAGTTCTTCAAAAGAATAATAATTCATTATCTGCTAGGTTAATGTTTGAAAGCATGTCAAAGGAGCGATATTTATTGGCCATGTTCAAAATGTAGCATGCTGGTGTTCCACGACAGAACAGCAAATGCAAAATGCTCTATTTTTAGAACATTATTAGCAGGAAAGTAATGCGAACCTCCCTCTCTAAGAGAATATATGTGTTTATCTAAGCTCATGCTAATCTGCCAAGTGGACTGTGGGAAAAGACACATGCAAAACTGACATTTTTAACCTACTGGTATAAAAAAGGAAACAGAACTACTGTGGACTGCGCTCATCGTAATATGTACAGTTAGGGCCACATATATTTGGACACTGACACAAGTTCTGTTTTTTTTACCTGTTTACTGAAACATTTTCTAGTTATAGTTACATAATGGACATGGACATAATGTGTAGACTCAGCTTTCATTTGAGGGGATAAAATGCAATGAAGGTATCTGCGGTGCCTGCATTTGGAAGATTTTGCTGTAAACAGACAACACTGTTCTTACCTCTGCAGCTGCCTCAGAAAGTGTTCTAGCAGCTGTTGCCGTGGTGTGGACTCATTTTCTAAATCGGGCAAACATAAACTTACAAGTAAATTTTTGCCCAAATAAAAAATGCTTGTAAAAACTGTATGCGCTTATAGACAGGTAGTCTTGCCTTGCTGTGTCCGGCACGCTCTGACTGGCCTGTCTCCTGGTTGTTCTACGTCCACCTTCACAGTGGGGTGAAACTCCTCCTCTTCGGGCTCTATTTCAAACCGTTCTTTCTTCTTCTTTTTCTCTTCTGGCTGTAGAGACATACAGAATGTAAACAACTTGTCAAAAATAACCATAAATAATTTATTGGTCACAATCTTAAGATTTAAGTTTTATCACCTCCAATCCAATACTTTTTGACAGTGTGAATGGTTCAACAGGTCCAGCACCACCACCACCACCACTACTACTACTAGCAACAGTCACTGCTGCCGCCTCTGATTCACTCTGCTCCCGCTCCCTCTTCTTCCTTTTCTCCTCCTGTGAAATGGTAAATAGTAAATGGACTGATTGTTATATAGCACTTTTCTACTCTCCCAGAGCACCCAAAACGCTTTATACAAGAAGCCTCATTCACACAAGCACTGTCTTTGACACTTAAGTGCAATCTACCGATCAAAAACATTCATACGTCAATGGATGCATCAGAGAGCATCAGTATCAGTATCTTGCCCAAAGATATATGGCATGCAGACTGGAGCAGCCAGAGATCAAACCACCAACCTTCCGATCAGTAGATGACCTGCTCTACCTCCTGAGCTACAGCCACCCCAATGAAATGAAAGCCAATTAAAAAACAAACAACTTAAAAGTAGTAAATGGTGCATTAGTCACGCAGAAGAACGAAATTCAGCTGCCTAACCTTTCTTCGCCTTCTCTCCTCATCATCTACATATTTGTCTTTATCCTTTTCAGATTTTTTCTTCTTCTTTTTCTTCTTTTCTTTGTGACGTTCTCGCTCGTGGTCTGATCTGTCATCGTAGTAGCTGGAGTCATGGCCGGACCCAGAGAGTTCAGTCACTTCGCTTCCTCCAACTTTGAGCACAAGCTTCAGAGGCTTCTCAAGAGCTTTGTCCTCATAGTCTACAACCAAAACGAAGAATTGGTAAAGGTATTGTGTCAGGCAATAGCAGTGACAAAGTAGAAGGGCAGTATGAAAGAAGTTGACATTAACATGCAGATTTTCTTTAAAAACGAAGGACTTTACACGCCAAACTGGTTATTATATAAAAAAAAGCATAATAAGCTCTCTGGTTTATATAAAATATAAGGCATAATAATCTCTTTGTTTATTTTTTTTATGTATGTATGTATTTTTTCCTACTTACAACCCAAATACAGTTTGTAATTTTTAGAAGTGTTTTATAATAATTTATAACGTAAAACAAACAACAATAAGAACATAGTATACAACGTAATGCAGCAAAGTGATTAATGCGAGATTTTAGCTATACATAATTCCACCAGTAGATGAATGAATGAATGAATGGAGCTACTATACATAAACTAAACTCTGTCAGCTTTAATGCTAGCTAACATAATGCTAGCTAGAACAAAAGCGACGCTGCAGTGAGCGCTCGGTGTGCAAATAAAATGTGCTCTAATGTACCGTCAACTGTTCTCCATTCCGGTTTATGCTTCTTATGTTTTTTCCCCATGTTTCTGTTCAAATTCTCAAAGTCGTAAATTTATTCCAATTAACACTGGTCGCTAGCGTTAGCCTAGCTGTGAGAGAGACGGTCTTCTTCTTCTTCTTTGTGTTTAACGGCGGTTGGCAACCAACGTAAAGCAGCATTACCGCCTCCTACTGTTCCGGAGTATGGGTCACACAGTGAGTTTACAAGCTGTATCAAAAAAAAAAAAAAAAAACAAACTCAAACGGTGGGCAGATGTGACGCTACAAAAACTACTGTCGTATTTCCGGTTTAAACAAAACGCGCGGAATTCGACTCATAAATATCGGCAGCACACGGTTGATAGTAAAAATACACCAGATGTTTGATTGATGCGACTAAACAGTTTGACGACGCTAATGTTTTAAGGTTTGGGTTTTGTTTTGTCACCTCAGCAGGTTGTTTTGTTCAAATGAGGCAGCTGGGTTAGCTAGCTCACGTTTACAGCCTTACCCGGGTTAGCTAGCTTGCTAACGCGATGTAGTGATGGGTTTTGGTTCAGTACTTAATAAAATACAGAAGCTCTCTGAGACTTGCTGTTGTTAAAGCCGCAGTTATTGCTCTGGTGTTCACAGTTCTTCGGAAATGGAGGATGACAGGATGGAGACGGGAAACCTCACACCAAAAATCCATGTGGAAGTTCACGTTAAATCTGACAGGTGGGTAGTTTAATCCTAGTGTAAACAGTGAAGTTATTATTAGGTCAAACCCATACACAGGTGATAAAGGACATGAAAAGCTAAAATGCCTCCTTTGGTTTACTTTGACCCTTTGAACTCAAATGACTCCTTTTTTTCCACCAAAGATTTAAATATGTTTCAAGTCATGTCTGACGATAACGTTTGTTTAAAACAAATCAGCAATGGTATTGTCATAGTACCAGCCAGAAGCTAGATATATACACGCATGCCTTCTTGTGATTTGTGATTTGTCTTTCATATTTCAGCACAGCTAAACGGTCTGAGGTGAAAATGCATGTTCAGAGTTTACTGAACTGTCACAGCATGGTGTTTGGAAACTACGCATGGACAGAGTTTGACGATGACTTCCTTCAGAAGCATGTGGCATCTGTGGTTATAGCTGATCTAGAAGAAATAGTTACACAGGTCTGTTATTTCAGTTTGTTTTGGGGATGAAAGCTCTGCAGTATCATTGTATTTTTAAAGCTTTATACTTATTCATTTTTTTTCTCCCTTTCAGCCCCTTGATTTGAAGAACTGCTGTGTCTCTTTTCACATCTTCACACTGAGCGAAGATGGACCTAGCATGCTCACTTTGGAGGAGGATGAGGAGCTTTCAGCAGCAAACCACTGGTTGCTGCCTGCAGGTAACACTGCGTTCAGTTTAATTCACTTTACTGTCATTAAAGCAAAACCAGTGCAATAAATTGTCTCTTATAGGTAGGCTGCAGTTGTTGTTGTTGTTGTTGTTGTTGGCAGTGTGTGACAGTTTCTGGTCTAGTGATTGTGTGCAAAACAGTGTATGACTATGCATTTAATAAGTCATTCATAAAGGACTTTGCAACATATTGTTATAGAGACATGAGAGATTTACTGTCCTGGGGTGGAGAAAGGAAAAAATGAGCCTTGGTGGCATTTCAAAAACACTTGGTGGCAGTGTTTTTTGGTTGATATCTCTGATAACAGGTAGCTGATTGCTAACAGTACGCTCAGCTTTCCTCTGCAGTGCCCTTTCGTCAGCCAAGGCAGAGTTGCTGTACCAAACTGTAAGATGGGAACATGGAAAATAATGCTATAATATTTGTACAGTGGTGAAGCTGGAGAAGTGGAGAAACTTGTTTTGTGACAAATGGGCCCTTTTCAGCCGCCTCAGGAAGTGGTGGCGACACTGGGCCTTCTTTATCAGACGGGAGATAAAGAGACCAAATCAAGTCCTCAGCAATATAGACATCATTTCTTTGGTCTCTTTAACATTAAGGTCTAGGTTGTTTTTAGAGGACTGTATCACCAGATGCTGGATCTTCTTTTCATTGTTCTGTGGACCATCTTGTTTTTTTATTAGATATTTGGACAGTCAATGTGACGCCATCTGCGTATAGTGGAGGATAATAGTATAATATAGGATGTATGTAGGATGGAAATGGTCGTTTGGGTATGTTCCAGCAACATCTATCATCAGGAGGTTCTCAGAAAAAAACATCTCATTTAACAGGGAGTAAAGGACTGGAGAGCAATGATTGATGGTCACAATATGTCTCCAACGCAGCTTTAAAAAAGGAGGGGGAGAAGATATTGGATCCATGTGACCCTGCAATCTTCCTGCATTGAGTTACAAACTGACATATTTTAACCAAAATCTTTTTAAATGACATTTTTGTATCTTCATGGTACAAGGTCTGTGCTGAAATGTTTATGGATCATATTAAGAGTAGGAATGAGTATTATACAGTAGGGCTGCCACAAACGATTATTTTGATAGTCGACTAGTCACCGATTATTTATGCGATTAGTCGACTAATCGGATCATCATCCACTGGACGTAAAACTACAGCTTATTGTACCAGCAGCATCTGCTCTTATATAACTATCATTAGCTTACAGCTTTAAGCTTTTAAGGTGCTAACTAAAAATAAAGACAAGATGATAGTTTATTCAATTTTAACGAAATTTGCAGATTGTTTCGGTAAAGTTTAATAAACTCCTTGCTATCTAAAATATAACAGGACACCGGAGTATATTCTCCAGCATCTCACACTTCTGATAATCAGCTGTCTGCTTGACGTTTATTCAGCTGTGTAAAAACTATAACTTTAATCTCAGCCAAACCGATTTACTCAGGAACAAATAAAATAATAAAAAAAAAAAAAAAAAAGCCAAACAACAACATTTTTAATTTATCTAAGTGACTCATATATATTTAACCCAAGTCGCGAAAGACGGCGGTGGGTTTGAAAACAATTTGCCGGGAGTCCGGTGTTCTCACGGCGCTAGTGACCTAGCCCCCGGCTAGCTATTGAGCTAGTGGGTAACAGACGTCTCCGAAAACGTCGGAGCGCTTTTGAAAATATGTGGTGTCCTGATAAACTGAGCCGATATTTGAGGTTTACACAGCTACATTCTCGCCTGAAAATATGTTAAACGTTTATTTTGTGACCCAGAAAGAATAATAAGAGTAATATTAAAACTAACTAGCTACCGCCATTGTTGGAAACTAAGCTGGGCCGCGCTATGAATTCTGGGACACAGCTGCTTCTTCTTCTTCGGGGTTTAATGGCAGCTGGCATCCTTGTACATGCAGTGCTGCCATCTTCTGTTTCAGTCCGTTATTACACTCTTAAATCCTGCTATTATTCCTGCGTCTTTTGCGATCTTACAAAGCTTCAAACGACACGTCGACTATTAAATCAGTCGTCGACGATTTTGATAGTCGACGTAATCGTGACTAGTCGACAAATCGTGGCAGCCCTATTATACAGCAGAAAGAATTGTGAAAATCTAGCACTTATTTAAACGTTTCTTTACTTTTTGCTAGTATCAAAATTGGGATTTCATTTGTGTGTTTGAATCCAGCATGACCAAAACCTACTTTGCAAATGTATCAGTATTTTACATTCTGATGTTCTTGTTACAAATGTACAGGCTACATGTTTCTGTCAAACAGGCCTCAAGATCCTGCTGCCATGTTGCTGGTGGAGCATCTGCTTTTTATTTCTTCTTTTTATGGGATAAAAATAAAATAATCTTGGTTTAGCATTCGAGATCTGTGGGTGTAAAGCTTGGTGAGCATGTTGTGCTACTGAGGACGATATTTTTTTTTCTTGTAGCTCATAAGCATTTTCTGTTCTATTATACATGTTAAATTGCTTTTTTCTTTTTAACAGCTGAATTTCATGGGATTTGGGAAAGTCTGGTTTATGAAACTGGAGTCAAAACTCAGGTAAAATAAATTACAGCTGTTTAGGAATTAGGAAAAATGATCAAATAACCTGATGTGTAACCTAATGCTTCTTAACTTTACCTTATTTCCCCTTTTCTCTAGCTCCTGGATTATGTCACAACAACAATTTATTTCTCAGACAAAAACGTTGACAGCAACCTGATTTCATGGAATCGTGTTGTTCTGCTTCATGGTAAATATTTAAGAAGGGAATTTCTACAGTGATTGTTATTACATTGGAATAAAGAGTAATGACTGTCTCTCTTTGTTTTCCCATATTCAGGACCTCCAGGCACAGGGAAAACATCACTGTGCAAAGCTCTCGCCCAGAAACTGTCAATCAGACTGTCAAGTCGGTAAGATTGTCCTCATTCTAGTGAAACCGCTCCAGCTATGACTACACCTGCACTTTTCATTTCCAAATACACCTTTTTTCTTTCTCCCCTGCAGGTATTTATATGGCCAATTTGTTGAGATAAACAGCCACAGTTTGTTCTCAAAGTGGTTCTCAGAGGTACACCTGGGTCTTTTTTTTTTTTTTTTTTTTTAAATGTTTTTGTTACTCGTATTGTCTCCTGTAGCTAATTATGCCTATTTTTCACAGAGTGGCAAGCTGGTCACAAAGATGTTTCAAAAGATCCAACAGCTGATTGATGACAAAGACGCTCTTGTGTTTGTTCTGATTGATGAGGTAAAACGAAGTGTATTTATTTCATTTTGATTTACTTCTGTGTCTTTTATGTTTATCTAAGACAGAAGAACTTCTTGCCAACTGGTTGTACTTTGTTATGTTGAAGTGTGATTGAAACAGTTTCTCTTTTGTGAACAGGTGGAGAGTTTGACAGCAGCAAGAAATGCCTGCCAGGCAGGAACAGAGCCTTCTGATGCCATTCGTGTGGTCAACTCGGTCCTCACGCAGCTGGACCAGATCAAACGGTCAGAATGCAAACCTTTCTTAGTGATTTTATTTGTTTTAAATTAGAGATCAACTCTGTACTAGTCTGTTGTGGTGGAGAGAGAGCGGTGTGAAAATGAAGCTGTTGCTTAACACATGGTTACAAGCTGGTTAAAAGCTTTCAGTAGAGATCAAAAGATTGAAATTGCAGAGAGAAGTGGTGGAAATGAGCCTCCTCTGTAGGGTATCTTGGTTCTCCCTTTAAGACAGAGGAGGAGCCCAGAGCTGAGCTGCTA